ATCCTAATCTCAGAGTCCACCACACAGAGAGTGTGGTAAGGGCAGGGATGTTGGGCCGAGGCGGCGATATCACCCTGTGCATCTGCCGACAGGCTCTAACCCGGTTGTGTCACAGCGCTAAGAGATGAACCTCTGAAGATATGCCAGAGGCTGTGCTCCGGCCCAGATAAGATAAGTGCAGCAAAGCCTGGCAAAGCTCCAGCTCTCTTTTTGGTTCACCCAGAAGAGCCGCTGATGATGGAGGGTCCTGCTCGGACCTTCCACTGTGGTCATGGCCCTACCGGGAGCCTGGGGTTGGTCTTAGAGAGGGGGCCCAGGCAGAAGGTGAGGTCTGGGGAGATGCTCGAGCATCCCACAGCCATCTCTTATCTCTGTAACGGACCAAAGCAAGGTAATCTCACTGTCCTGCCAGTCAAATGCCTCCAAGGTGATCAGCATTTTGAGACCTGTGATTTTGACCTCCCTGTTACCCACCTTGATGAGTCTAGTCTTTCTGGTGCTGTTGAGCAGCAGAAGACAGCACGACCATAGCCTGTGGCCTGACTCGGCTAGCTGGGTTCAGAAATGTGCTTCCCACCTTAGGGGTAGCCACACCTTTGTAACAAACTTCATCCAGTGTGCTGGCCTATACCTGTACCCTTTTTAATTTTCTCTGTCCCTGTCCTGAATTAATAACGTGACGATCCCTTCAGATGGTGAAGGCTAAATTCCCCCATCACCCCCAGCAGCGTAAACCCAGATCCACTTTACGAAAGCGAGCAGAGGGCAGCTGAGCAACATCATTTTCACTTGTGCTGACCCAGATAGTTTAATGCATTTATCAAGCTGTATTTCAGGACAGAAATGGGTTTCCTAGATAGTTTAGTTTTCAGGAGGTTCTGGTTTTATAAAACACAGAAGCGAACAAAAAGCTTTTTCTAGTGACCCTGCAGTGCTGAAGTAGGATGTGTGTTTGGTGAGGAAGGAGGGGAGATTTAGCAAAGAAAGAAATTTAGTCTAAATGGGACAGAAAGATCTGCTGTAGTTAGGACAGGGGTCTGCCTACACCTCTATTTCCTAAGTTTCTAGATTCTCCAAAGTCCTCCTATAGCCTTGATAACACCCAGGCTTCACAGCCCTTCTAGAAGTTGGACATCCGCAGTTGGATCATCTGAGCAAACCAGTCCTTAAGTACAGTCTGTCTACAATTATACAAGATTGATGTATCACCATACACACGGTGCCCGCAATGAGCAGTTGTGGGAATTATTTTGGTAGAGAGCAGTAAGTGACAACTGAGACAAACAGGGAGGTCTGTGCTCGTTCTCTTATGGCTGCGCTGACTGGGCAGGACAATTAACTCTTGATGAAACCTCTGGGAGGCCGGGACCAAGATCCTTTCACTGTATGTAAAGTAACACTATATAGATAAAATGAGGCCCTATTCAGCAGAGGACAGCCTAGGAGGAAGATAAGCATCTCTCAGATTGAGGTGCTGGTTTATATTCCTGTGTAAGCAGGGAGTGATTTGCCCGAAGTAACCCTGATTGTACTGTACTCAGTTTTTCTGAGTGAGAGCTAACACCCTTGGCAATTTCAGCTGTTAAGCATAAAACCTTTAAATAATGGATTAGAAACAGGTGCTAATAATACCCAAACATAAGGAGGGTTTTATGGGAGTCAAAGAGCTTAGGTTCTCCCTGTCTCTCAGTCAACAAATTTCTCCTGTCTTCTGCTACATTTCTCCTTGTGGGGTAAGAGGTGTTTATTACTGGAGGAGAGGGATTAGAGAAGGGGACCCCAGGTTTGCTGCACGACCTGCTGCTGTGTCGTGTTGGCTGTGCTGTTTCATCTGCCTTTCACTCTCCACGCAGATGAGCATTGCAGCTTTTTCATGGGCTTAAGACTTCATAGGACTCTTTATTCAAGAGGGGATAGGGTCAGGATGGCCACTGTGGTATGGAGCTCAGACCTACAGCCTAATTGTTCATTTATTAAAAAGGCTTGAATCTGGGTTAATAGCTACCAACATTGGGTGTTTTCTCTCCCCTGTAGATTTGAGTAGGGTTCAGCCCTGAATCTGAGAAACGTTACCAGCAGGAGTTTTCTCAAACCTAACACATTTTCCCAAATGCCTTTTCCCTCCTGAATTCTCCCTTAACACTTAATAAAAAAATCCTTAACCATATCTGCGGGTGAGTCTGTTTTCATTAAGGCCTGGAAGTTGCATGGAGACTTACAGGTGAAGTAGGCTAGTGAGGCTGCCAAAATGCACTTAATGATAACAAACAATTAATTATTAAGATAATCTTGGAGAGAAAAGTGCTGGAAATCCCACTCTGAGCAACTCGATGTGTAATCTTCTTTTGGAAAAAAAAAAACAAAACCAAACAGTCAACAACTGCAGCATGAGGTCAAGCTGATCATGTGCAGCTTTAACTTACGAAGCCATCACACAGGGTAAAGCTGGAGAGATTCCCTTCGTTCCGATGATAAACAGCAATCAATCCCCCGAGAGATTTAACATGACACCTGCCTGAAGCTACAGCCTGCAACATGTGGAGTCCTCACACATGTCTGAGGCGAGCCCTGTTTTCAGCCGCGGCTTGAACATCGCTGCGGATACGATTTAAGTTTCAGATGGGACGAGGTAGGAGTAAAACACACAGTAGGAAAATTTTTTTTTTACACCGCTCTTCTTGTTACCTTGTCTTTTGGAGCAAATAATGCAGAATTAGATTCTTCTCTACTTACAACCACTGAATAATACATTGCAAACAGCCTCTGGTCTGTCATCATAGTCGCTTGCAAGGGTAATTCAGAGATGGGTAATGTCTCTCCCTGTCTCCCTTCATGTAGAAGAGACAGAAGCACCTGAAGGTAGGTAGTCATTGCTGGGACTGCTTATTTACAGCCACAGCTCATGTGTGGTAGGATGGGATTCATTGTATAGGGATTGAGTGTATAAATTTAGACATTGAATTCGTTATGCTTATACTGTATGTGTTTTGCATATGCTGTTGTACCTCCTAGATGAGACATTGTCAGCAGAACCTGGAAAATGGTTCAGCTCATTCTAAAGCAGAGGGCCCAGAGGTGTCACTCTTCCCTTGGGTGAAATTCCAAAATCTGCAGTTTTATTCCCTATTCTTTCCCTCCCCAAAAGAAAAAAATAATACACTGACTCCCCAGAGGGGCTATTTCTTACTTCAGCACAAATCTAATTCATTTTACAGGCATCCATAGAGTGTCTTTAAGCTCAGTTTTAACACAACATTGAACACCTCTTTGAGAAAACGTTCAGGCTGTTGGGCTGAAGCTGATCTGCATCTGAGATGGGATGAGAAGGCATCTGATCTTGTTAAAGAGCACTTCAATTTTAGGAGAAAAAGATGGGCATCACCACATTTTTTGTTTGCAAAACATAACAGAAGCCATATTTGTAATTAAGAGTCCCAATCGCCACCTAAAAAGCAGCAGCAATTATTGGTTAGTTATTCAGTACTGCAGTTAGCTAATTGTTTTCACTCTAGGATACAGAAAGTTTCTGGAAAGTGCTTATGCTCACGTGCACTATGTGGCTGAGCGGGCTGAGGGTGGGCACCTCTCTCATTTAACTCTAGATGTCTGTGAGGTAGAGGTCAGTATCTGAGTTAATTTCTCAGACTTTATTTATTCCCTGGAGAGAATGAGGCACTCTTGAGGGTGAATCAAACTGACCTGTTTCTGACATCAGCTGTAGGGCTGTGCCCCGAGGAGCACACTGAGCAGGGGCTGTAGGCTGCTCTCTCACAGGCTCTGTGCTGCAGACACACGTGTTCAGTCAGGTAGTTTCCATCCATGCTGTGTTCCAGTCAAGGTTCAGGTGACGCTCAGCCATGCACCATCGTCTCCACCTGCTCTTGGTCCAACCCAAAGGAAGCCCAGATGAGGGAGGGGGAATGGGGCCTCAGCCTAAGCTGGGAAAGTTTTCAATTCATAATCATTAAGAGGGACCACCGAGCACACCAGCTTTGCAGGCCAGGAATGTTTTTATATAAGAAAACATGAGATTGTCTTGGCAAGGAAGCATGGTCTGGTGTGAAGGTATTAAGCTGGGCATTAGGACATTTGGGGTCTGCACCTGGCCTGACGGTGGAAAAAATACAAGAATTTGAAGATGCCTCTTTTCCTACCGGTGAATGAGAAATAATGTTTCCTCTCTCCTCTTGGGTTGTGGTTTTTGTCATTCCATATCATGTATATGTGCCCTTGAAGATATCCTGATGGAATATTTGAAACTTTGTCCTGGATTCTGAGTTTTTCTTTTTCTCATTCATGAGGGGTTGTTTTGTTTTTTTTTTTCAGGGTGGGAGGAACATTTGCGATCATTTGTTACGATTTATTTACTGCGTATCACAGGCTGGAGACTTAAAACTTGGGTTTTGTGATCAGAAAAGGCAATAAAGCCTTTGCCACCAGGAGCCAGCTTTTCCCCTGCGTTCAGGCTCATGACTCGAATACGTGTGCACAGAGGAGGAGGCAGTGGGTCAGGCTTGTCAAACAGCAGAGAGCACCATGAGCGCAGCGATGCAAATTTTGCAGTGATCAGATCTGTATGAGGAACAAGAATAAAAAAAAAAATAAAAATCTTTAAAACCTCATTAGTTAATTATCATCACTGCAGATGGTGCCTGACTGTAAGCTCCTTTCTGCTCATCTTAATCCCATTGCAAGTGGCTACGGTAGGCAGAAGAGCCTGTGGTTGAGCACGGAAGCACATGACGGTGGGGAAAGCTGCGAGAAGGGGAGAGATGTAAAGCTTTAGGAAGGGAGGTGGGGGCCCATCCCCCTGTGTAGGAAGCGAGCGAGCAAGTGTTCCATCTTTCATTTGTAGGGCTGAGAAACGTAAACCAGGGAGTTTTCTCTGTCTGGATTTTGATCTCCTCTGTGGGCGCTCAAAGGAGGCCTGACCCGAGATGGATTATTGACTCGCAAAAAGCTATGTACCTGGATTACCTTCGCTGTGGTGAGTTCAATCTGCCTTTCTCTGTCCCTCTATATACCAGTGAATCAATACAGGGAAGAGGAGCAACAAGCGAAGATATTGGAGTGATGGAGAGCAAGCAGAAGCAGGAGGTCTGATGTTAGTATCGATTAGCTTTTTTTTCAGTAGCTCTGCCATCCTTTTTGCTTACAGCCCTGTTTCTTACGAGGGAAGTGAGATGTGGTTGATGTTCATGTGGGAAAAAATAGGTGTCCGTGATAAATAAGAGTTATGGGGGAAGGTTGCTGATGTGATCAAGCCATAGCTGGTGGATGTGTTTTGCTCTGTTGAGTAATGCAGATGTTACGCCTGGACGATTTCCAAAGCCTGTTTTTGTGTTTTCCTGGGAGGCTTTGCAGTGGGCTCTGGGTCGGTCCTTACAGAGGCATTTCCCAAGCAAACAGCTCTCCTTTCTGACCACCTCTGGATTCCAGTTATACAACTCGCTGTGGCCACTTAAAGTTTCTGCTGCTATTCAGGGGCGGGTGATTGAGTGGGTCAAGTCTGTAAGATGACAGAGAGGGGACTTCTGCCTGTTTTAAGCAGTTCTGCCCAGGCAGGGAGCCAGGCTGGCTGCAGGCTTACTCCAACACCCATCCCTGATGGGAGAGATTGTGAACTTCACCACAATCCCAGTTGGAGTATAAACCAGAATTTCTGCTCTGATTTTCTCTGCTTTTTTTTTTTTTTTTTTTTTTTTTTTTTTCCTTTTTTTTTCTTTCTTTTTCTTCTGTTGGCAACCTCTCAGTCTCTCTAAGTACAAGCTAAAAGGGAGGGGGGCTTGTGTTTTTTTTGGTTAATAAAAGCCTCTGGTCGTTAACCCTTGACAGTTCTTCAGTGAATTACTATTAAAAAAATGAATTAATTTCTTGGGTTGAAGAGAGGTTCATAGAGTTGATGACATAAGGGTCATTTAGATCATCAGATTTGACCCCTTGAATAGAATGAGGCACTGAATTTCATCCTGTAGCTGCTGGCCTTTCGTTTATTGTCTTTATACATCGTGTTAGGAAACTCATAATATCAGGACCGCATATCTGTAGGGGCTGAATTAACATGGAAGGGAAGAAGAATACAAATTTACCAGGGGGTCATAGGTCAGCAGCCCATTGAGCCTTTGAAGAGAGGAGCCTGGCAATACTCAGTTGCCTCTTGCTCAAAACCCACCTGGTTTCATCTGTCTGGTATGGCAGAATGTTGCCTGGTGGCTGTACTCCTGATCTGGGAATTTATGTATCTCTGCAATTCTTCTTGTAAGCCCGGGACCGAGATTTGTATTTTGAACATCTGAAAATACAGAATGTTCTTGGCCTGTCTATGATCCCTATGAATTATTGGTTGTGATGGTGACTGACTGGTATTTATCTTCTACATCTTCTACTCCCCCAAACTGACCTTGTCAGCAACTGAGGGCAGAGAAAATGTTTCCATCTTTTGCTGGAGTTTTTTTGTTGTTTTTTCACCGCTCTGCTTCACCGGATCTCCCTTGGCTCTCTTTTAGAGCTTTAATACGTTGTTTGGTGTGGGGTGGGTTTTTTTGTTTTTGTTTTTTGTTTTTTTTTCCTCATCTTTTAAATCTATTACCTTGTAATCATGTCTGTCTTCTTATTGTGCCTTGGAGAAACATGAATCATTTGCCAATAGGTGAGTTTTATTGCTATCGATTGCTGTTATTAATTTTTGCCCATTAATGTAATATTAATGTGCCATTAATGTAAAAGAGGAACAAACTGCACATTCAAGTGTAAAATGTCGCTTACGCTGCTCAGGTGGTTTTAATATATTAAAAAAAAATCCATTTGGAGAGATAAACAATGGATCTCTTCATCTCTTCCCTTCACAGTGAAATATTTTTTTTTTCCTTAAAGTCTACTGTCCCTTAAAAAAAGAAAACAACCTTTCTTTTCCCCAGTCTAGTTTTAAATAACCTGTGAGAGGGGCTTCCACTACTTCATTTAGAGATTATTCCAATCTAAATGACCTCACTTGCCCTTTGCTCGGTTTTATCCCATCACATCTATTTATACCCTCTTGCTCTATATTAAGCAGTTCCTCTGAATGCCTGGGAAGAATTAGCACCTTAACATTTTGACTACACAGAGAATGAAAGACACAGAAGAAAATCAAGATCCAGGTGCACCTATTGCCAAAGAGGATGTTTCAGAAAGGACTTGGTTTTGTCTATCTGTGTAGTGCCTACACCATCAGCTTCCCCTCAGCCTAACTTATCTCCTGGCTTGCAGCACGCAGTCACTCCTCATTGTTCATGCACAAAGGCTGAGAGCTCTTCACAATGGAGATCTTACTTCTTCCTTGGCTCTCAGCTCCCTCCTGCCTGCCAGCTCTTTTGTTTTCCCTCGGGCATTAGTTGGCCAAGCAATGTATATTTAGTGCTTTCAATATTTTATTTTTTTTTCTCCCTCCTTCATCTAACCAACCCCTCAATCATTTTGTTGCTTTTCTCTAAAACCTCTCAAAATTGTCGGCATCCTGCAGGCTTGTGGCTGTCCACTGTTACCCTCAGTCTTCTTCCTCCCACAGTTCATGGAAATGAAGTTTGTTGCCTTACTTTCTTAGGTGTTTCCACTGACATTGGTGCCCTGGATTGCGTGAGAAGAGTCCTGCACCTACTTAAAAGCTTAGCGGGAGAGGTGGGCTCCTGAGATGGCAATGCAAATCCTTCCACGCTTGTTTCGGAGTCGTTCATCCAGAAACAGTGCACTTTTGTTGAAAACTGGCTTTATCTTTTTCTCTTTGCTTTAATGAGGTAGTGCAAATCACTGCCTCAGGACCAAGCAGACAAAGATTGTGTTCCTAGTGCTGTCCCAGATAAGTAGTACTGGGCAAGTCACTTCATCAGTCAGTACCTCAGTTTCCCTTTTATTCTTTGTTTGCTTCTTCCATCTCATGTTCTGGGAACCTTGAATATCACTTATGTTTGTGTCTATACAGCTCTGAGATGGAGAGAGAGCCTAAGCACTGCAACCTTCCCAAGCTTCATGCTTCATACCCCTCCTCTGTGCTGGTGGGCTTCAGCTGCGCCTCAGCATCCACAACATGCTTGGAAGAAGTCAGGCTCTGATATCTGGTGATGGCAAATGCCGGACCCCCTGGATGTTGCCCAGCAAAGAGAGGTTGGCTCACTTTGCAGCACTCAGAGAGCAGAGATGACCTCTTTGTGCGCACATGCCTGATCACGAGCCTGACAGCGAGCCTGGACCTGCACTGGCTGTCGGTGTGGATGTCCTAACACGTGCATTTACTGTCAGTCATCTCGACAGGAGCCTCGGAGCACTGCTGGAATCCCAAAGAGAAATAAATACGTAGAAATGATATCTGCTTACTCAACAGATCCGATGCACGTCCCAGAGCCATGTTGTGCCAGTTCTATTCCTTAAACATGTGTTTCTAGACTGTTTTAGGCTGCTGCAGTCAGTAAAGCTGTGAGAGTGAGAAATGGGTTCTTTGCTGCCTTATGGAGATGTACATACAGGTGCCAGTTAACCTCCAGCTGCTGTGCTGGGTGGCACTGGGAGTGGCAGAAGACCAGAGCATGCAGAGCCCAGAGAGCAGTAAGGCTCTGGTAGGCAATATAAATAACCTGCAGGGTTGTAAGTTTAAAATATTTGATCTAGTATTACTAGGAAGAAACACATTTACAGGAATTTTTGTTACCAAAAGTGCACCTAAGAAAAATGAGATATATCCTAAACGTAAGGGGTAACTAACAGCCACTACAGTTGGTTTAATAAATTACAACAGTTTGGAATTTTTTTTTTTTTTTTTTTTTTTTTTTTGACCTGCCTGAGGAGAAATTCACTGAAATGCATCAGTTTCTTTGGAATTGTCCCATACAAAGTGCCCACGGTTTCTTTTGCTTAGTGGCTTGATTTCTTCATATTTGCATTCTTTCTGCATTAGCTGACCAGGCTTAGTCACCTGGTGTCATCCTTCTTTCTTGACTGCACAAGCCAATTTCATGTCACTGAGATCTGGCCATGAGGTCTTGCAGGGAGGCCGTTCTGACTTGCCCGCCATGAACACCTCAGCAAGCCCATAAGCACATTTGGCAGATGCTTTTGCCATTAAAGTTCAGGCAAAGTGAACACAGAAGTCAGAAAAATGTGGCACCTGGCCAGTCTATGGAAAAAAGTCAGCACAAATAATCCTAGGTATATTTTGCAATACTTTGCCAGACCTATTCCCTTTTAGTTGGGGATTCATTTACCCATTTCAGCACGTTATCGCTTTAAGCTTCCTCAAAGGCACACAAAGCCTCTTAATAAATAATCTTGCTATTTCTTATCACATCTGCCTTTGAGTGAGAGACAGGACAACTGGGACAACATTCTCATCTGAATCCAGGTCAGGATCAGATGTAGGAAATGGTGGTGATGAAGAGCTGAGTGATGATCGCGGTGTTATATAAGCTTTGCGTTAACTCTAACATGTTTTAGAAGATCAGTGTTTTTTGGATGGGTATGAAGCCAGAGGAGGGAGGTGCGCAGCAGCAAGGAGGATTACATCTCTCTCTGCGCTTCCACATGTCACCCATTACCACAGTGTCTGAACACTTTTTGCTTGCAAGGTGTGGTGAGCTCCATTGGCCAACCTTGGAAATCTGCAGGAGAGGCAGGAACAAGCAAAGAGAAGGTAAAGGTCTTCAGAGCCTGCTGAGGGTGATAAGGGAAAATATAAAACATGTTAAAACAGAGGGGAAACCGTCAGGTTGCAGAAGCGAGTAATTTTATACGCAGGATTTTGAATAGACCTTGCAATAATATTGAGAAAGCTGGTAAAGTTTATAAAGGTTGAGATAAGCTGACTCAGAAACAGACAGGTGTTTTAGCAGGAAGGGATGGCTGGAGATTTTTGAGAGATTACAGTCAAGAATCTGTAGGATTTGGCAACAGTCCAGGTCGGAGTGTTAGGTGTGAAGGAGATGTAGGTGTTGAACATGACATGGAGATTGTGCGTTTGAGTGCTGTATGAATGTGGGTTATCCGCAGCTAGGAGGGCTAGGGGAGCGAAGAGTTTGTGGTGAGAGATAAGGAGGTGTTCTTCTAACCACGATAAAAGAGTTGGCAGCCCCACATCTG